AATTTATTCATAATCCCCGCGGTTAGGCAGCTCCATTTGCCGGCAATTTAATTAACTGAAAGTTTCCCGCAACTTATTCGAATAAGTTAACTTTTGCACAGCGCTTTATTGAGCAACAAGTGCAGCGGGTCTGTTTTGAAAGTTACGCAGAACTCTTGCGGGTAATATTACGTAGAGGGCACGAACTCGGACCAAATAGTAATAGCTGAGTGGCAGTCTCGCTTTCCAAAACGTTTTACCTTCATTGGTTTGTGACTTCCATTATTTGGAATGCCTTAGATACGAACTTCGTCCCATTTATCCGAAATCAATTACTCTCCATACCGAAATACTATTAAAAGGAAACTCGCTGGCTGGGGGAATTTATCAAGACTGATAAGGCAAATAAGGTCAAAATTATTTAATTGGTTCTAATAATAGCGATCGATCTACAACTTATTTATACTTATCAGAATTCTTTAATTAATTATACTTGCGTTTGTTCTTTTGCAATATGCATTCTAAAAGTGCTGTTTTAATCTTGCAAATATTGAACAATAATGAATTGTTATCTCATCACAATTTTGTCCAATTTGGCATTTACGTATACTAAATTTTATTATTGACGATACCATTAAAGTATTGGCAGTGTATCGTCCTCTAATAATATTTGCTGCTTACTGTGGTACTGATGAAGTTTGAAGTTACAACAAACTGAGAAAGCACAATGTATTATCAAGTGTTTTCAACGCTTTTCATTATTTATCTAATTCGCATTAAATTAGTTAGGGAAATAATCTTGAATTAAAACAAAAAGTTCAAATATACATACAATGTAGAAATCTTCCCGAAGTGAGTTAGTTTTAATATGAAATATTCTCAATTTTTACCGACTACACACTTCCTCAAATTGTTGTCATCTCTCGTAGCTTAGTGGTCAGAGCATAGGCGCGTAAAGTCAAAGAGCCCGGGTTCGATTCCCGGCGGGGATGTGAGAACAGCAACAANTTAAAATACACTGAATAATGACTTACTACTTGGCTACTGGCTTTCGAGATCTACGGTAGTTTATCATATTCATACCTACATATATCTAATTAAAGTTTCTGTGTTTTACACGTCACATGTATACGTATACGTATCTTTTTGTTCTCCCAACTGTAAATTATCCTCATACACTTTCATACCTTTTTAATACGCACATACAGCTATCTTCACTTTACATTTTCAGAACACGGGTTTGCATTCCTAGGAAGACCTAGAAACTTTTCAGCATTTTTAACAAAAGGATTCAACCGCATGATATATTGTTTCCTTTTTCAGATTTTACAGCTCCAAATGAACGACTACAGATATCACTACATGTTCACCAGCTTTGTAAGTATTCCTTTCTGTAAGTCTTCTTGTATTTTTGTATATTTTTTAACATTAATGAGAAAATTGGGTTTTAAAGTAATTAAGATTTCCAAATTAAGCTCTTATTAAATCGAAAAAATAAGTTGTCTCTTTCAAGACTGGAAACAAATTCGTTTGACACTTGGATAGAATAAGCGTTTCTTATAGGCGGTTTAGAATGACATGATATTTATCGCATTTTCATAAATTTATTGCATATTTGAAATACATTGATTCCATTGTTGCTCTATTAATTCTAACCATGCAATCCATAATCCCGNGAGGGCACGAACTCGGACCAAATAGTAATAGCTGAGTGGCAGTCTCGCTTTCCAAAACGTTTTACCTTCATTGGTTTGTGACTTCCATTATTTGGAATGCCTTAGATACGAACTTCGTCCCATTTATCCGAAATCAATTACTCTCCATACCGAAATACTATTAAAAGGAAACTCGCTGGCTGGGGGAATTTATCAAGACTGATAAGGCAAATAAGGTCAAAATTATTTAATTGGTTCTAATAATAGCGATCGATCTACAACTTATTTATACTTATCAGAATTCTTTAATTAATTATACTTGCGTTTGTTCTTTTGCAATATGCATTCTAAAAGTGCTGTTTTAATGTTGCAAAATTGTATATCAGGTTTTCTATTAGTTAAGCAGTTTCGTCTATATTGTTTTTATATATTTTGCTAAATTTTTACGAAATTATATATTGCAGTCACGACAATATCGTTTCGCCACACAGTGTGTTATCATCAGGTAATGATTATACAAAATTAACTGATCTGTACCTATTTATATTCATACTTCGTGGGTAGGGGTTGTTATTCAAATTAGTACAATTAATATTGAACAATAATGAATTGTTATCTCATCACAATTTTGTCCAATTTGGCATTTGCGTATACCAAATTTTATTATTGACGATACCATCAAAGTATTGGCAGTATATCGTCCTCTAATTATATTTGCTGCTTACTGTGGTACTGATGAAGTTTGAAGTTACAACAAAAACTGAGAAAGCACAATGTATTATCAAGTGTTTTCAACGCTTTTCATTATTTATCTAATTCGCATTAAATTAGTTTGAATTAGGTAAAGGTACTGATAATAGACGATTCTTATGTATGATATTTATTCAGTATTTGTAACCGAGAAACTGGAGTTTAAGGGAAATAATCTTGAATTAAAACAAAAAGTTCAAATATACATACAATGTAGAAATCTTCCCGAAGTGAGTTAGTTTTAATATGAAATATTCTCAATTTTTACCGACTACACACTTCCTCAAATTGTTGTCATCTCTCGTAGCTTAGTGGTCAGAGCATAGGCGCGTAAAGCCAAAGAGCCCGGGTTCGATTCCCGGCGGGGATGTGAGAACAGCAACAAAATTTTTCCTCATTAATTTGAGAAAGTGTGTAGTGGGTAAAAATTGAGAATATTTCATATTAAACCAAAAAGTTTCATGGTTGTTACTATTAGAAACGTGCGGCCTCAATTGATGTGGTGCTTAAGTGCTTATGCTTTCTTGAGTCGTGTATATGATCGATAACACCGGCATTTACTGCATGAGAGATTTAAGCAACGAAAAGTAGCTTCTTTTATTGCCCGACTTAATGCTTTTTATATCTTATCTATGGCAGAATAAATTTTCCAAAATATCGTAGGTTTTAAGCGAATGCTTCTTTTCGTGCACGTGCAGATAGCAACACAGCAGAAAGAGCGCTTGTTATATTTCTTTAATGTACTATGAATTTTACTTTTTTATTGCTTTTGAAGGTTTCACTCAAGCATATATTCATAATGTATCTCAATTTTTTCAATCAATACAATGTCTATATCTACTCGTTTGTGCACGTCAACGTTTTACCTAGTAATAATTTTTTAAAACACCTGTTTTGATAAATTGATTCATTTGCGTTAGAAACTATGTGAATTTTGTAAGGTTTGTTTATTTTAAAAGGATGTTAATATGGGTTTAATTTTTTGAAACGGTTTTTAACGAAAACCTGTAGTCCAACATGTGTATTTTGTTAAAATATCAACTGAACTATAAAAACTTTACGCAGAGATCAATTTATCTATTGCTAGGAAAAGCTAGTAAATTAAATATTTCATGTCATAGATTTTCGTTAAAAATAATATATCATTTGTTATTTTTCCTACAATACCTACCGAAAAAATACTTCATAAAGGAAATATTTTCCATTCATTGAAAATTCACTGAATTAATAGATCTTCAAATTTGTTAAAACAAAAACGATATCGCAAAATAAGGCTGATGTATCTAATTTTGAGACCAAAGGTACTTTTATACCATTGTATTCACACAGAGAACTTTGGGCTTGGCTAGTGGAACAATTGCATTTAATTAACGTGTTTCAGTTGTTACTTTGTTGCTGTTATGTTCCATTTACAGCAAAGTTATTAAAGGAACGAATGGTGTGAATATTAATGTGAAAAATGGACTACTTTTATTGACAAACCGACTCGTCGTATCATTTTCAACGCATTATAGCATCTACAGTCCAAAATAAAACCCTCATATCTGCCCTACAATCATTAAGTATCTTTATAAATGGCTAATTTAATGCGTACTTATCTTTTCTTTTTAATTTTCTGTGCAAGAAGACTAGAGATAGGAGCAATAGCCTAATCGAAAGCGAATGCTTTATTGACTGTTACTTTATAACAATAACAGTATTATAATATAAATTATTTCGGATTTTTCTCCTTACCTCACATATATTGCTGTAGTCGTTCTTTAAAAATCACTTCGCTCTGGAAACAGTAGCACCTGCTACTTAATGCCTAGCTGCAGAGCTTTTTTCGAGTATGTCTCTGTTAAAAAGCTCTAGTCGCTCTAATGCGAACTGAAAGGATTCTTCTCCTTATGGAGGAGGATTTACTGACTAATTATCTCTTTGGAGTTGATAGGAAGCGTGGTTGCTAGGTATCTCAAGGATACCTGGTATATATATTACATTTCGAGGGCACTGCAACGTTCACACTCGAAGTTACAATATGATAAAAGAAGTATTAGAAATTCAAATCCTAGTTTCTTTTTTACTTGTGTGGCTGTTGATGAATAAGGAAATTTTAAAATAACGAACAAAGATTCAAAAAATTACCACAACTGTTAACATAAAAAGAAATCATTTGTCGGAAATTAAGTTACTTACGACTTTAAAATTATCAATGTTCAAAATTCAGGCTTCTAAATTAAATCTATAACAGAAAGTATAATACTAATAACTTTTCCCTTATTGTAAATTTGCTTCAAAAATTAATTCTTCCCCTATCACGCATCACTGATTAGTATTTAAGGGGTTTCGGGAATCAGTGTGTAAATGTTCAATTTCATATACAATCATATTTTAACCAATTGTATAACCTAACCTGACCTAACCTAACAAAAACTAACTTCCTTCATATTACAGCACCCAAAACTACTTAAACGATAGAATATACAAATCCATATTATTAATAACAAATACATATAAGGTGACGTTTTTTCAAAATTTCTGCATATTTCTGTCACCATAATTGTTTTAAAAAAGTGTTCTACCAATCCTAAAGAGTCCTTCTGGTTTTACGCTTGTTATTTTTCTTTATTTAAGGAACGTCCTTATGTCATGGTAAAAGAGGGTCAGAACTTAACCGATAATGCGAAATACGAAGGCTTTTGCATCGACTTACTGAAATGGATCGCCACTCAAGTTGGTTTCCAATACACGATTCAGTTAGTTCCCGATCACATGTACGGCGTTTATGATCCTGAAACGAAACAATGGAATGGAATTGTCCGGGAATTGATGGAAAAGGTAAACATGTTGCAACTTGAAACCATTCCATTGCTTTTACAAACGTAGACACATAATAAAATGGAAAATGAGGTCCTTTACCACTAAATACCATAAACTGCCAGACGCGGATCGCGATTTCGATCTTTTTGTATCTCATCAGCGCGACGCAGGCAGCTCCGACAGAACACTGACCAACTTTTACCTGCTGCCTTAACAGTGCGTTTTAAAAAATACCACAAATGGCGCAGTAAACGCCATCTGTTTGGAACATACGTAATCCTAAAACGTAGAATCGTGCTACAGATGGCGTTTACTGCGCCATTTGTGGTATTTTCAATGTCCTCTGTTTTATCTAAACTACAGAAGTGGTCATTTATTTATTCACAAGCCGACGATGCGCCGTAAAATCAAGTTGATATAAAGGCAACTTAGGAACAGTAGTTATATTCGCCATCTATTGACATATGCGGGGGTAACTGTAAACATTTAATCATTTGACAAAGGCCTTGTGAACATATTAATAAATATTTTTACTTTACTTCGCCGAAACACATTCATTAACGTTGATTAAGTCGAGATATAAGCATACTCATAACTTCTAACTTAAGCAGATATTTTTTAAAGAAGATTATTAATTTTTAATTTTAAGAAAGAATTTAGCAATTTCAGTTTAAGGAAAATATTTTCTTTATATATTTTTTTCCCATTTAACAGCGAGCGGATTTAGCAGTTGCTTCTATGACAATAAATTACGCAAGAGAAAGCGTCATTGACTTTACGAAGCCCTTCATGAACTTAGGCATCGGAATCCTGTTCAAGGTGAGTTTTCCAAATTTCAGTGATAAATTATCTAGGTCTTTAATCTTGCTGGCATGTCCTTGTGGCTTTGAACTTCGATTCGTATCGCCCCATTCGCCGCTCCAAAGCCTACGTAATAAATTTAAATTTCACAACCCCCTTACACTCACTGCATATGGTATTGTAGGGGACGTTTTTGCATAAGTTATAGAAAACATACGCATATTTTAGGAAATTTCTATGAAATACGAGTCTATCTAATACAATTCCAAAATGGTCCGTTTAATCCAATGATTCTCAAAATGTGGTCGCGAAAAATAATTGGGGAATTGATTATAGGTCCATCAAAACATTTGCAATGTTTTGTTGTAAGATGTACTAAATATAAGTTATTAATTTTAACCAAAAAGTTTAAGAAACACTGATCTAATTGATTATATAGATATGCATGTGTTGGGTGCGGAACCCATTTTTTCACAAAGTTTTCCAGCTTCAAGAAAAAAGATGATGTGATAGCCTAACCTAACGTAATTTAACAAAAGCGCTTTCTTTCTGGAGAACTTATACCTACCATAATCTAGCATTTTCTTCTTAAACCTTGGAGCACTGGTTTAGGTTATGGAGGAAAAGGATTTCTGTGCACCAAAGAGAAAATGTTAGGTTATGATGGGTAATAATTCATCCCCTTCACCCATATGAAAGAAAACAATTTTAATATATTTTCTTCAGAATCCTTAACTACATAAAATAGGTAAGTACTAAAATTTCAAAGAAAACAGAGGAAAAGAATACTATGCTAGGGATTATAAAATACTAGTATTAGGTATGAAAAATACCCATTAACGTAAAATAATCCAAATTTTCGATAATTCGGTAAACCGTTCTAAATACATATTTACAAAATTGAAATCTGAACACAGTATATTATCTAACTGTATATATACGTCTATCATCATTTGCGTTTTTAAAGGTTTATTTTGGGAACCGTTTGAGAATGTCTATCAAGACGTTTTATGTTCATTTAAGGCTATGTCAAAAGGGAGGCGGATTGTCAGCACGAGCTCAGCGACCCCAGTCCGTTGCGGATTAGTGTAATCACACAGAATGCTGGCAAGTCGGGTCAAGCTAATATGAAAACAGTCGCCATCAAATAGAGTGTTTATGTGATTCAATTCACTCTTTCTTGAATTCGTAGTTTCTTTTCATGTTTTCAATGGAACATGTCCAGCAGTTTCTTTGACGAAGAAGAATTGCTTCTTCTGTTCGCTTTGAGTCTAGCAAACGAAACATTACAAAAAAGGAAAGTCTGAACGAAATAAATGAAAAAAGGGAGAGTTATGTTACTTTTATTGATTACACTGTGTATTGAATTTAGTTGAAGACCATTTTTTCTAATCTCTATGAATATCTCAAGAAGAATTTAATTAATTCTTCGTCTTGTCAATCATACCATCTCTAATGATTAGAATGATGCAATCTTACGTTATACAAAGTGCGTAGCGGTACGCGCGAACAGTCCGCTTTCGGGTTGACACAGCCTTTAATGTTGAAGTTGTAGAAAAGGGTTTCTAGGTTCCTACAAGCCAACCAACGAGATTGTTCAGTTTCATGAATCCTTTGGCGATAGAGATTTGGTTATACGTATTGGCCGCTTACATGTTAGTTTCTTTCACACTGTTCGTGATGGCCCGATTTTCGCCCTACGAGTGGAATAATCCGCATCCCTGTCACCAGGACTCGGACATTGTCGAAAACCAATTTTCCGTTTCAAACAGTTTCTGGTTTATAACCGGGACGTTTTTACGACAAGGATCGGGTCTCAATCCCAAGGTACCTATACCATCTACTAGATAAATCCCGCCACTTAAAAATCAAAAGTTTTACTGCATGTTTATGTTGCATCAGTTTATCTATCTATATACCTAGGCCATAAAAGTAACGACCAAAATGCGATTACTGCGTGAAATGGGCCCTGTATCCTACAATAATATTTTTTGATAAAATAAATTAATTCTTCACTATAAATTTTTAACGATGGTCCTAACAAAAATAAAACAAGAGCGTTCCCGTTTTATGATGGATAACGCTTCTGTCTGCCGTCTTGTATCCCTATCGTTTGCGATATCGCGGAAATAAAAGTGAATAGATAATTTTTATTATAGACATATTCCACGAGATATTTCTCACACAAAAGTATTTTGTAAAATCCGTTATAGCGTATAGGTACGCGTACGTACTTAAGGGTAATCTTTCTCCATGTGTGCAAAGTTCAATAGAAAATATCTTCCATTATCACGCTGTCTTCTCTGATGCTGTTAATGGGAAAACTCATTAAAAGACAGGATACCATCACGTGATGAGTAAGAACGGCTGAACGACTCACCACCCTGTCTTATTCGCTTCTCGCTTCCATTGATTGTTATTATTGATTCCGCTATTTAAACGGTCCCTAATTAACATTTAAATTATAAGAATGATTACTGTAAGATTTGTAACGGATTTCCTCTCACACTTCTAGCAATTATTGTATACAAAGCAAGTTTAAACAAAAATATTCAAACTTATTTTTATTTTCATCGTGTTACGAGTAGGTACGTCTTGGCCCACCATGTATCTATCACAATCAGAAATTTATAAGAAAATAACCAGAACAAACGAATATATTTTCTACAAAAATCAGCCAACCAGCATCGGGCAGATAAAAATTCATATACAAAAAATCATCAATTTCGTGTTTGACATTCGAATATGTTGCCATCAATCAAATCACTGCTTAGATATCGTGGATATTTTTGAGAAGAGTAGTGTAGTCTGTCCATTACTGAATGAATAATTCAAGATACGTATTGACTAAAATATAAATGAAAACAAAAGAAGATTCGCGAACAAAAAGTGCCTGTGATACATGAAAAATATTGCGTGCTCATCAAAATACCAAAACAAAAAGCTTGAATAAATAAATACACTATTGATGCATAGCAAAAGTGTCGTATAAAAATGGCAAAAAGGATTTTATAATATTTCTTCTTCTTGTTTTTAGAATAAAAAATATTTAAAGCAGTTATAAATTGAAATCACGCTCATCTGGAACGAAATTCGTACTAATTTATCATATGACAGTTAAACATGTGTTTTACACATTTGTTTGTTGTACTTAAAATTGTACATTATGTTTAATGCCCACGTCGAACGATGAGTACAATAAAATTCTGATGACGTGTTGCACAGCATCAATTTCGAATTTTATTCGTATTAAAATTTATTTGTTGCTATTTCGCTTGCACTGTTACACCAGACGCAATTAATTATCCTTTAGATAAAATGATTCCAAGAATACATTTCATGGTGGAGCCGTCAGACACCACAATTTAATAGTTAACAATTTATTGAACAATTTCATATTAGCTAGTAGATAAAAACAATTTATTTACAACACAAATAAAAATTTAACTATAATTAATAAATAATTCAATATTACCACAATAGTAATGCCCTACCTTCTTATAAGTATGTATAATTGGCAAAACATACAAAATGGCAGGAAGCCATCATAGGCAAACGGCTTCACCACCCTGTCTTACTCGCTTCTTGTGATTCTTCCCGATTCTTTTGACTTTCCTTGATTATTATTGCTTACGCTTTTTAGTAGGTATTAGGTATTAGTTCGGAATTTTAAATAAATAATTTAGATGTACAAACTTTGTACCAATATGAATATTTGCAGACAATGTAGGTAACATTATTTACCATAGTTTCAATATGAAATCCTACACTTTTCTTTTCGTTGCCATAAAGTGTAATAATTTCTATAAAAAGAAAGAAAGTTTGAGTGTATTCTTCGTTTTATTTATTTGTCGGTGTAATGGTTGCATAAAGTAGAAAAAATTGCCTGAAATTAAGACGAAAGGAAAGATTTGATATGTTCTCTATTATTTTATTTTTATACTTGATCATTGGACTGCTTTGAATGTCAACTCCAACAATTTTCCAATTCTGTAACCTATTTAAAGGTACCGAAGCGGATTCCGAGCCATTTATTTTCATTTTTAAACCCTCTCGCCATCGATATCTGGATTTACATGATAGTAGCTTACGTGCTGGTCTCTTTGACTATCTGGTTCGTGGCTCGGTGTTCTCCGTCCGAATGGAAAGAGCTAGAGTTGTGTGACGATTGCATGGAAAGGAAACTATTGGCAGCGGATTGCTTTGATGAAGACTGTTGTTCGTATCATTCTTCCGGTTTTGGAAGCGAGTCTAGTTCCAGAAGGGGAAGTGATATTGTTGAAGAAGATTTTGCAATCGTTTCGAGTACTTATTATCCAGCATACGAAGGATATACCGACGTTTTGCAAAACGATTTTAGTTTAGGGAATAGCTTTTGGTTTGCCATAGGTACACTGATGCAACAAGGATCTGACCTGAACCCAAAGGTACAATATTTGTAGATATATTTGTAAATAATACGCCGTAATGGTTTGACTGCTTTTTTCAAGTGGAATCGTATTCCCTTTGGAATATCCTGTAACCCAATTTGCTGTTTTAATTTCCCCAATACTCTTGAATTTCATGAATCGTTTGGAAGTAAAAAGTTTTACCAAAAAGGTACATTTAACTGAATTAACGATTTTGGATTTTTTGGAAGAATTACCTGTTAAAATAGTATATTTAATTCTTTACATTATTACTTATAATAATCATTTTTGTACAGAAATTAAGGCCATCATCATAAGGTCGCCAGTCCTAAGACTGGTTGGACACGCACATCCACTTTTTCCTATACTGAACTAATCTTCGCATTTGCCTAAAACTAGAACATCTCACATCCTTAACTATTTGCGAACGCTAATCTAATCTAGATCTACCTCTACCCCTCCTAACTCCCGTTTCTGCCTCTAATGTGTCTGTGACTAGACCTTCATGCCTAAGAAGGTGTCCTACTAACCTATCTCGCCTATTTCTTGTTGGCTTCCATAGAGTCCTTTGTTCTATTCTTTTTAATACCTCTTCATTTCTAACCTTCTCTATCCACGGTATCCTTATCATTCACCGGTAACACCACATTTCGAACGCTTCTAACCTTTTCTGTTGCGCCCACTGTCAATGTTTCGCACCCGTACAGTGCCCTGCTCCAGGCATACACCTTAACAATCTTTTTCGAATTTCTAAATCAATCGTTCGCAAGCATAGAAGTAACTTTTTTTATTGAAGGCGACTCGACCCTGCGCGATCCTCTGCTTTATATCCCTACTACTCCTTGCGTCCTGACTTATCTGACTTCCTAGATACCTAAAATCGCCCACTTCTTCTAATTTTTCGTCTTCTATCTTTATATTCGCCTTTTCCCTACTTCTTCTTCCCTTGCATACCAGTATTTTTGTTTTATTTTTATTTATTTTCATACAATACTATTTTGTCAAAACTGCTTCCATTTTATTTAATGCTATCTATACTAATCTTTTGCCCCTGTATATCTATGTCTTTAATGATGTTGATGGCGTCTTCGATGTATAGATTAAAAAGTAGCGGTGACAGTGTGCATCCCTGTCTGACTCCCTTCCTAATATTTACTTCTCTACGTTGCAGCCCCAGGGCTGTATGACTGCTATGTTGCTCTTTATACAAATTGAGTATCACTCTAATATCCATGTAACTCATCGCCTCAAAAAATGTATATTATAATTTAAATTTGGCCATCGACTAAATTTGATTTATGTAAATGTGCGGGTTACCAGTTAAAATCTAGCTGTTGTTAGCTTTCATATTAAATATTTTTAAGCATCCCTACATGCCAAGTAAGCTAGTACCTACTATCTACAAGTATTGTACCTACTTTGATGTTAATATTAACTACTTATCTAATTTATCGCTAAAAGTTTGCAACACTTGTAGGTCGTTGTGTCGTTTTCAGATCGATCGTGTATTTTTGTAGGCAACATCCACGAGAATTGTGGGGGGAATTTGGTGGTTTTTCACCCTGATCATTATATCGTCGTACACTGCCAATTTAGCTGCCTTCCTCACGGTCGAACGAATGATTACTCCTATAGAAAGCGCCCAGGATCTTGCTGAACAAACAGAAATATCCTACGGGACTTTAGAGGGGGGAAGTACCAAAACTTTCTTCAGGGTAAGTCCTTAATTAAAATAATAAGATTATGTGGTTAGGCTGAAAACTAATGTAGGCACACATGCTTGTAGAACACAAATAAAATCAAATAGGAAATTTAATTCTTAAGTTTGAACATAGTCACCGTTACGCGTAAAGCATTTCATCCAATGTATAATTACTTGTTTTATTTTGTCACTGGAAAATTCTTCAGACTTGTTTCGAATCCAGGATTTGATAGTTGCCTTCACCTCATTGTTCGATGTGTAATCGTGCAATTTCGTTCACACACCTAGCGCGAAACTTGAAGTTTGAACCGATTCTACACCTTCCTTACTGTCCTGATCTTGCGCCCTGCGATTTTCAGTTTATTCCTTTAAGAACTTAAGAATTGTACTTTAATGTACTTTTTCCCCGATCTTCCTGTTTGTTTTTGTTTTGGTTCTACAATATGCAGGCATACGTGTATTAGGAGCCTCGTTCTTAGTGTAAATATTGGAAACTCTTTCTTCAAAGCAATTAATCATAAGAATTTGTTGGGTGAGAATATCACTGTAGGTCTCAATACTCAAAACAATTAATAAAATTAGACAGAAGACTAAGTCTGCAAGGTTTGATAAACACCAAGACCAAAAATGGCAAATTGTTGCTAATTTAAAAAACAAAAAAAGTTCATTCGAAGTGGTATGTATTCTGTCGAAACTGTCAGACGCGGATCGCGATTTCGATCTTTCTGGATCTCATCAGCGCGTCGCAGACAGCTCCGACAGAAGACAGACCAACTTTTACCTGCTGTCTTAACAGTGCCTTTTAAAAAATACCACAAATAGCGCGGTAAACGCCATCTGTAGTACGATGCTACATTTTAGGATTACGTTTGCTCCAACAAGGTCCACTTACGTATCCTAATACGTAATCCTAAAATGTAGCATGTAAAAACGCACTGTTAAGACAGCAGGTTAAAGTTGGTCTGTGTTCTGTCGGAGCTGTCTGCGACGCGCTGATGAGATCCAAAAAGATCGTAATCGAGATCCGCGTCTAACAGTTTCGACAGAATACAATCCACTTCGAAAACAAATTCAATTTGTAAAATTGATATCAATTACATTATTATTATCATCCAAAACTTACTAGATACCTGTAATAAAAGAAAATGCTTGGCCCCTTACGTTGCATTGCAATTTTTGATAATTTTTTCGTGGTTGCGATTTATTTTACATATTTTAGAGTCGATAAGATTACGCAGCTTTTAAACTGACATAAAAATTAAAGGATATTATTTATTACATGTACTTTATCAACTACATTTATGATTAAATTATTAGTTTTCAGGATTCGTAACCGTTTTAGAGATCTATTTAAATCGAAATGTATATACGTTCAGGTTCATCTAATATTTTATCGTTAATTAATTGTGACTTGCAAAACATAGACGTAGTATCAGGAATTTATCTGTGGCGCAATAAAACGTTCCATGAAGCAATTGTCGGTATGCCGCTGTCATTAAACACAATTCCATTAGTCTAGTTCGGTCGGAACTACTTTAAATTCCAATTAATGCCACTACTACTCGCTGATTATTAAATTTGAAGGGTTAAACTTCAGCTGTTCGATAGCGATTCCGGCCTTCGTTCAGGTCATTCGTTTATACAAGAAGCCGTTAAGGATTTTCGGGAATGAGCAAAAATCCTTAATGATTTTGTTTGATTTCTCGCATACCAAAATAACAATAAGGTTCAACTTTTTTTTGTAAAAACCGATAAAGATTGATCGAAATCAAAATCTTTAATTATTTTTTTTTGTTCCTGGTAAACTAAAATAAATAGTACTTAACAGGTTCGATTTCCTTTTTGTAAAAAACGATAAAATTGACGAATATAAATCAATATTCTCTTCTGTTATAATCAGCAAATCTGTATCATTGTTAAAGAAAGCATTTCGTTAATCAGTGTTAATCAAAGGACAACGTATAAATTTTGTTAGGTAAAATACTTTTTTTACAACTGCCACTTAAATAAAATTGCTCGTTTTTATTGAAACTAGATTTAAGGGCTTGTTAGCTTATCACTAGAAACAAAACACGCTTCGTCGTGGCGTAGGGATTTTTGTCACAAGTTTTGATATACAAAAAACAAATAGGTACGTTTCAAATAAAAGGTAAAAGGGAAATATTACGTATCAAGTGAATTTACACGATATTTTTCTTCTTTTATTGTTAGTTTCATTAATTTCTTTTAGTAGAGTATATAAGAACGTACGATTCAAAGTCTTTAACATTCTTAGAATTTCATTTGAACAACATAATTGAAATATCTTTTAGGCAGGGCTTACAGTATATCCAGTTTAATTCCTTTTTCAGTTTTAGTCTTTTTAGTTTTATTAGTTTGCATTGTTCTGAATAAGACAAACTTCTTAATTAGTTAAATACTTCCCTTAAATATTTCTCTACTATCCCTTTACTTATGTTGCTTTACATTCCTATAAAAATAATGAGTAAAATAGACTAAATGTGCCTTAGCTAACTGGAATTACTAACCTATATTTTCAGTAATCTGTTAAATTTCAGTTTATTTGAGTTTCAGAAATTGGAATTGATTTTAATCTAATGCAAATACTAGTAACGTTTGTGATACTATAAAATAAATCAATTGCTAAATCGCTACTTTGCGTTGGGTGTATAAGTTCAATTTTAAAGGTTATAGTATAAATATAGTGATGAACAAAATTGGAATTGCTCTGTCTTTATACTAAAACGACCTCGGATTAAGAGTTCTTTGTTCCTATATTTGAATACCACATAGTTGAAATATAGAGAGAAACTAATTGTTTTTTTGATATCTCTTACTTTTTTCAATTACCTTGTATTATTTTGTTCACCAAAGGGTCAATTTATGCAATGAAGGAAGGATACGTTCTCGAGTTTTCAAAGCTCTTAGAACTATCGACACTATTTTAGATTAAGTGAGTAATACCAAGANTTATTTAATAAATTAATTAATTTACTTTACAAACTCAAACACAATATTCACATTTGAAAAAAAATAAAACCTACTAATGTGAAATATGTTTCCATTGTTTAGTTCGGGTTATTATTGGTAAACGGAAATAGTAAATACAAATAAAAATTAATTTAAATCGCACCATTGCTTACGATTCGTAAGTAATTAACAGTGAAAAATTAAAATAGTGCACCAATACATTCATTATCGAAATGAGGCCCGTACTAATTTAGCATTCTTTTAATTTGTAGGTATCTAATTTCTGATTTAGTGATAATTATGTGTCAAACAAAAACAATTACAAAAACCCCAAAATGTTACATGTGTATAGCTAATAAAATAATTCGAAGTGGTCTGTATTCTTTCGAAACTGCCAGACGCGGATCGCGATTTCGATCTTTTTGGATCTCATCAGCGCGTCGCAGACAGCTCCGACAGAACACAGACCAACTTTTACCGCGCCATTTGTGGTATTTTCTATGTATGGCTAGTTCAAAATCTCCTAAGCCTGCACGTATTGTACGTTACAAAAATTGTTAAGACTGTTAATCAAGTGCCTGGCTCTACAATCAGGAATGGAACTGCAAATAAACTGTAACAGTAATGGTCGTTATTTTTATGAGATCTAAAAACGGAAGGAGGTCAAGACCCATGAGATTCTGAATTACCTCTACCTTCCCTATAACGCATTGCCTCTATTTTAAATTCTAAATGTATTTATGTATTTTTTATGTTTGTTTCAGGTGGTGTATTCGTTGTCCTTCTTTGCGGTCTTGCCTTAGCGATTGTAGTTGCAATTTTGGAATTTTGTTGGAACAGTAAGAAAAATGCCCAAACTGATAGACAATCAATGTGTTCTGAGATGGCCGAAGAGCTGCGGTTTGCGATGCGATGCCACGGTTCTAGGCAGAGACCGGCTTTGAAGCGAGCGTGCATGCGCTGTAGTCCTGCCGCTACCTACGTTCCTGCGACCGATCTACCCCACGCTAATGGGGTAAGTTTCAATTTTATTATACTGTGTGATTTTCTTTTATAAGTTTATACGTACAAGGTAGCCTGGTACAGAATTTTGTGTTTTATTTTTTTCTCTCAAAGGTAAGCGTTAAAATTTTTAAATTTTTCGTAAAAATGCATGAAATTTTATGCTTTCTTTGGTGGTCTTGGCCTCGTTTGTATCAGTTCTTTTGTTCACGAGATATTAATGAAAATGTCTAGTGATGTATTTTTCTCTTTGTTTTTCTTATGGAAAAATTAAAAAGAAAAACAACTTTCATTTCAATTACCTTGTATTATTTTGTTCACCAAAGGGTCAATTTATGCAATGAAGGAAGGATACGTTCTCGAGTTTTCAAAGCTCTTAGAACTATCGACACTATTTTAGATTAAGTGAGTAATACCAAGACAACACGTAAGACCAAAACCAAGAACTAAAGTAGAAATATTTGAGCAAGACCATCAATATATATATATAAGTATAATAATAGTTCCCCCTCTAGGTGTTTATGTTTGTTGAAGGATTCGAAAATTGGGGTGTATCAGAAAATGTGGAGATTTATGGAAAGTAGACAGCCTTCGGTTTTCGTTCAAAGTTACGAGGAGGGTATCGAAAGGGTTCTGAAAGGCAATTACGCGTTCTTAATGGAATCGACAATGTTAGACTACGTGGTGCAAAGGGATTGTAACTTGACTCAAATCGGAGGATTGCTGGACTCGAAAGGATATGGAATAGCCACGCCGAAAGGCAGCCCCTGGAGAGATAAAATTTCACTGGCTATCTTGGAATTACAAGAAAAGGGTGTGATACAGATTCTGTACGACAAGTGGTGGAAAAATACGGGAGACGTCTGTACCCGAGACGATAAAAGCAAGGAATCGAAAGCCAATGCCTTAGGGGTTGAAAATATCGGTGAGAACTCATATTTACTTATTATCTTTTATATTACGATCTGAATATAAATTGGCCCAATTTTCGCAACTTCAATTTCAGTATTTCACTGAACTGTAGTATTTTCTTTTAAATANACGGTTAGTTCGGCGAGGCGAAACGTAGATTACGGAACATTATTTCCCTGAAAATTTTGCTCGGGAAATCATTCATTTAATTACAAAACTCGTTCATCTTTTGGAACGGTTAAATTACAAGCGGGCATAATTTGATGGTTTGACCTATATAGCTTCGTAGATAGTATAAAATAAAGGATTTAAATATTCACCTGATATCCAAAAACTCATTAATATTAACATTAATTTGAGGTCTTTTGTAACGTCTCTCTTACAATTATAGTCATCGAGTTATAAACGATCGAAGAAATACATAAATTTTGCAATTTTTAATAATACTCAGTAACAGTATTAAAAAATGAAAATTTTGAGTTTAATAATATTCTAGAATAATCTTTGACGAAATCCTGATGAGGTTTTAATGTTTATTCTAATCTAAAACGTTGGTTTTTGATTGACAATTGTCATCAAAAAATTGATTTTAAACTTTGATCCTGATTTCCGCGAGATAAACTAGTTATCGTTGTTCAGGGTCAGGTGTGTATGCATGGGAAAATTTTTGCATACGAACACCTGGATTTCCGGATACGTAGTTTAAATAAAAATACAAAAAAATGCACCACAGAATACGGAAAAAGTCAGAAATTGTATCAAGAAAGTTAACATACCTTTAAACTTTTGATTAGCTTTATGAAGAACGACAAGACCAATAAGCAAAAGTTATTTTGACCAAAAGTCTTAAAAATGGACAACAGTCTGCCTCCTTTAGCCCTCCATGACACGCGTGCGATATTATAACATCAAAACACCCTTCCCCGGGGAAAACAACCACCTAAAATGTTTTTGGTGTAATAGATCCTCCTACATTGGCAAACATTAGAATGAAACATATACCTATCAAAAATAACCGATGGAGTGTTTACAATAAATGAAATTTTGGAACGCCATAAAGTTACACATTCAAAATTGCTATTCAGAAAATGTCTGTTTTTGTATTCCCCAAGTACATAATACAGGCATTTATTATTCCAATATTCCCCAGAACGAGAAATGGAGTAAGCGACGGTCACTGATGATTCAAACCTATTTAAACCGGTATCTGTGTCGCCAAAGATAATTAGAAAGGGGATATTAAATCTGAAGTGATTATAACGGGGAATCACCGTAGATGCGTGCCATCGAGGGCTAGAGGACGGTCCATAAACCATATGCCTCTGTAAGAAAGAGGAGAGGGGCCTAGTAAAAGACTAAACGTGGTTTTTATTGCTGGATAAATAATGTGCAGAGTTGTTCTGTAACCTTGATATGCTAGAGTCAATTATTGAGTCTTTTAAAGAAGAGGATTAGTTAGGAGGATCGAAAATGATCTATTTCCAGTGTTTCCAGACTGTTTACTAGAAGGCTACAGGAAACTAGCCTCAGCTTTTACTATTTCAAGTGATTTTGAATAAAAAAAATAAAGCTAAAACAAAATTTCTATGAAAATTTCATTTCAAAAAGCGATGTTCTTTTAATGCAATAAGCACAAGGACAAAACCGTGTTAGACCATGTGGGGAAGAGGGAGAGTCAAAAAGAAACTAAAATAGAGCCAGATGGTTTATGGATACTCCCCAGTCCTTGTTTCTTTCTGCATTTTTATCATTGCTTTTTCAGGAAAGTAGCATTTTTCCCCTGACCGAGGTGAAGAAATCTCCGACTTCGTTTAGTTCGGATACCTAGCGATTAGCTTTGAGGGGTGAGCAGAGTTTTGTGTGTTCGGCGAGCGCGCTACCGGACTATTGGACCACGTCCCAGGTGACGACGTTCAAACCGGCGAAAAGCGCGGACGGCGAAGACGCCGCCACGTCGGCGTCCGCGTCGGCGAAAAGCACTTGTGACGTTGCGCAGTTACGACGCCGGACAGAACAACGACAAACGACCACGACGCTCGCGTGGAAGTTTGACTGTGATGTGCCCGTGTTCGTTAATAAACCGGACGTTTTGAATAACAAAAACTTCGAGAATCTCATTAACAGGACCACGACTCTGTGATAAAGCGAAATTATTGTAGTGATCTATATGTTTACATTAAAATTACTGTTTGTTGTCAATTTTATTCTCCCATTTCTTATTACCCTTTAGCCAAATTGCCTTTGTAATTCAGAAATTCCGGTGTAAATTGGAACTTTTTTCTTTTAGGATTTGTGTATTTCTCATCATCATCATCATCATAAGGTCATCAGTCCTAAGACTGGTTGGACACGTACCTCCACTCTTTCCTATCCTGAGCTAAACTTCGCATTTCCCTAAAACTAGAACAGCCCACATCCTTAACTATTTGCGAACAGTAATCTAATCTAGGTCTACCTCTACCCCTCCTAACTCCTGTTTCTGCCTCTAATATGTCTCTGACTAGACCTTCATGCCTGAGAAGGTGTCCTACCAACCTATCTCGCCTATTTTTTATTGACTTCCATAGAGTCCTCTGTTCTCCTATTCTTTCCAATACCTCTTCATTTCTAACCTTTTCTACCCACGATATCCTCATCATCCGCCTATAACACCACATTTCGAACGCTTCTAACCTTTTCTTTTCCGCCGCTCCCACTGTCCATGTTTCGCACCCGTACAACGCCGTGCTCCAAACATACACCTTTAACAACCTTTTTCGAATTTCTAAATTAACCGTTCGCGAGCATAGAAGTGACTTCTTTTTATTAAAGGCGACACGACCCTGCGCTATCCTCTGCTTTATATCCCTACTACTCCTTCCATCCTCACTTATCTGACTTCCTAGGTATCTAAAATCAGCCACTTCTTCTAATTTTTCGTCTCCTATCTTTATATTCGCTCTTTCCCTACTTTTTCTTCCCTTGCATATCAGTATTTTAGTTTTACTTTTATTTATTTTCATACAGTACTGATCTGTCAGTACCGCTTCCATTTTATTTAAAGCTATCTCTAGGTCCTCCTTGCTAGATGCTAATACTGCTATATCATCTGCAAATCTAAGCATACTAATCTTTTGCCCTTGCACATCTATCCCTACAGTTGTACTGTCTTTAATGATGTTGATGGCGTCTTCGATGTATAGATTCTACTGGAAAATTATTTTATCAAAATTTTAATTTGATAAGTTGTTCGATTAAGTTCAACAGAAACAATCTGACAATGCTACATTTAGATAGCGCATTTAGGAAATATTACGTATTTAATGTTACTTTTCAGGGAGAATTTCCACCATTAACTCTCGCAAAAAAGGTAAGTAAAAGTAAGTGATTAGTTTGTTCTTATTACGTATGTAACTATCAATTTAATTAAAAATATTCCCCATAACCCAAAAAGGATTTTTGCTTTGAAAGAATGTTATCCTTATGAAACATTCACTTGTTTTTACGCTATTGATTATACGTGTTGAGGACGTTTTGTTTTTCTGGTAACTTCGTCAGGGTTCCCATCGTTTTAAAAGCGTATAGCATGCACCTGTCAGCGGTAGTTGCCAATGGCAAGGGACAATAGGCAACTGTAATAGAAAACATTGTTTAAATAAATGCATAATAATTATTATGTACTTAATATATACCGACTAAATTGAAGGGTGAACGTACAGGGGCCGGGAAGGTGTTGGGGTAGGTACTGTGTCTGACACTAGTGTCTGAGGATAGTAACATGACACAAAAATGGCCAAGTTTCAGGCCAGGTACTTCGGGCTTCTGCAGTCTTTACGGGCAAAAACTAAGATCACCCGCAATAGATCCCGCACAGTACCGGGAAAAGCCGGACTTTTAATAAAAATAAGTGGTAGGGATTCGCGAAATTGTTCGCGCCCGTTACACTTATCGATAAGGACTGGCTTTACACGACCAACATGAGTGTTAAAGACCACAGGAAATAAAGCAAAGATAGCTTACCAATGTTGGAGTACAAGTAATCCAACTGGGAGGGTTAATTCGCCCCTCAATCTTTTAAATCAGCGATGGTAATTGGTACTACAAGAAGCTCGAAAGTCCCAGGTGAAAATCTTCGTCAGAGTTTGGAGTAGTGGTGGTAGTGATTATATACGTGCCGTATGCTAGGGTGGAGGAAATGCAACCCTTAGTGTATACCCTCAGGTACGAAGCCTGATAAGTCTATAGTAGGGATTTAGATAGGTCCTGCAAGCAAACTACAAGTCTAAGAGGTCTTACTCATCTCCTAAATGAAACTTCGGTTTTCCTCTACTGATTAATGAGCATATTTCAATCTCTCCCTCAAAGGACCCGTTGTGGGTAAACCGCAGGACACGTAAATTACCATGTTAATCTGAATAGATCCGGGGTACAAATTTTCCTTGGGTTTTTTCCCTTTGGATTCTATATTAGTTTTGGCAAAAAGATTTTTTCCAAAAATTCTGGACCTCCTACACCAATGAACTACGTGTGCAAGATTTAAGCCCAATTGCACTTAAGGATGAAAGTACCTAGAACTAGGATAACTAACTGCAAAATGTTTTTTGTACAGGATTCACTAGCAAAAAAGGGCACAGATTTATAGAGATACATTTATCTCAACTTACCCATGGTTAAGAATTCTGCTCTTATATTGCAAATTTTAAACGATTATAGTTAAAAAAATTACTGGATCAATGGACTTGTTACGCCCAAAAATACTGTCTAGGCCACTGGAAACCAAAAAAGATTATTAATTAAATATAAAAAACACCCTAAGGAAGCGGGAGGATTTTAAAATTGTATACAACTATACAAAGAGACCCTTTATGTAGTTTGTATTTACAAATGTAATTTAACCCGTAAACTCAGGAATATTTTAAATGGTAGATAAAAAATATTTACAAAAATATCAACGTCAAAATACATACAGTATATTAAAATTTGTACCGCCGTATTCTTGTTCCTTAAATAATTTATGACATGAAGGTCTGCACTCTATGCTCTAGCGTACAATTTCCCATTTTCATTTATATATGGAA